TATAGTGCAGTACAGTTAAACAGCACAATAAACCTCCTACATGACCAAACCTCTTTCAAACAGGTTAAAAAAAAAACTGAACATTAGGACCTTCATGACGGCAGGAGTGTACGCAGTGTGTCAGATGTGTATACACACTGTTTTGTAATAGATATTTTTGTTCAGTATTTATTTAGAAAAACAGTCTTGAGGGCAGTGATGCGGAGGTCTGGGACCAGGCTCTCTTTTTAAAGTGGTACAGGTAGAAGACAACTTCTGTTACACTTCTGTTACAGGTACCGTTTGATTTTAGCAACGATAATGAAATCCCTGCCTGTCTGTGTGTGCATGGCGTCAGTCCAGAGGAGAAAGGATCCTGTAGATCCAAAGGATGGAGAATCGCGGTGTTCTGCTCCTCCTTCCCCTTTGAATCAGTTTCCACCTCCCAATGCCTCACTCCCATCCCCTGCAACACGTCGGTCACCACCTTACGGAGCTCCGAGGTCCAAGTCCAACACCCAACCTCGGTGGCGACCCGGGAGAGCGTCGGCATCGCGCCCCTATAGAGCTCGAGGCAATAATGGATCAAGAGCACCTGATTTCATGCAACGCAGGTATGGCTGCGTCTGCTGCTGCGATTGCAGTACACAGAGAGAGATAGATAGATAGATAGATAGATAGATAGAAAGATCAATGCATACTTTATTTATCCCCTTGGGGAAATTCATGTAAAGAAGATACAGACCAAGAAGATACATGTCAAAGGGATACTGGCAGAGAGGATACTGGCAGAGCAGATACATGCCAAGAGCAACGCCATTAGAGCACTTTCCTGTGACCATCCAGCCCAGCAGGTGGTGCCTCCTGGACGTCAGGAGGATGCAGTGCAGCCACTGCAGAGCCCAGGGGAGGCACCAGATGACATCTTGGATGTGCCAGAGCTGCAAGGTGCCCATTATGTCTGGTGCCGTACAGAAACTGCTACGATAGATGGCACAGGCAGCGATGCTGAGCTCAGAAGGTGGAATTCGCATTTCAGGTGGGAATTTATTTTAGATCACCTCACATGTGGGTGGAGTGAAAATGGTAACTACACATTAATATTCAGAAGTTGTGTAATAAGATAATAAGAAGCAGCACACACCTTCCTCGTGTGCACCACCTGCAGTACATCTGTACACTGTAACTCCTGGTAGACGGTGAAGCGCTGTTGCATATTCTGTATTTGTGCTGCTTAACTTCTCAAAGTAACATGTTGTTGTGCTGCCTGGTCCAAACAAAAACATCATTTATTGCAATTTAGTATCCAGATGATAGATACTCAGAAAAGAAATTATTTCAGTGAACAAACTTCATCAAAAGTAAAAGCAGTTATCATTTAAACTGGCCTTTTCCATAGTGCTATAAATAATTAATACACTGATATGTAACCAGTGTTTAACTGAAAGTTTTAGCTAGTCTTGGTGGTTTTAAAGAAAGTTACTGCACTGCTGCAAAATACTGTGCTGGTGCTACTTTATATTTCAGCTAGTATTGTTTAGCATGTAGGTTTAAGTACAGATGTCACTAAAAGTATAACAATGCCTCTGTTCTATTCAAGTGTCCCAATCAATTCACAAGTGTGACAGGGAGACGCCACGAACAGGCCAGGACTCTGACACTGAAGCAACAAAACACAATTCAGACATGAGTCCTTTTATTATTTACACCTGAGTTTTTCCTCCTCACACGTCAAAGTAAAGTTGTGCTTGAGTTACATTTACACAATGAATCAGCTGATCGAGAGAAAATTAATCTGCTGCAATTTAATTTGTGTTGACGGTTAATTGCTTAGGTCAATTCCAGCTTCTCAAATATGAGCATTTGCTGCTTTTCTCTGTTTTATATCGTAACCTTTTTTTGGGTTTTAGACTTTTGGTCAAACAAAACCGTCATTTTAAGATCTCACTGTGGGAACTTCTGAAGGACATTTGTCACCATTTATATAAACTAAACAATGAATCAACTAATTAAAAATTAAGTAAGTAATTAATAAAAAAAATAATCGTTAGTTTGATCTCTGTAGTTAAGTTCCATCAGTAGTTTATTTGTTTTGGAGATTGATAATAACTTGATTATATTTTTAACACTTTAACAAGTGTTGAAACTTGCCCAGAGTATTTTCAATTATTCTTTCATTTTATACAAGAAACTACAACAATATTCTTTAAGGGTGCCGTGAAATTTGACTACGTAGCACCCGGTCGTCACCTCCTGTCTGTACACGTATGTACGAGGCGAGCAGCTCTGCAGTGTGGATCTGGCAGCCGTCCACCTCGTTGGTCTGGCTGCAGAAAATCACAGATTGGTGGATGTTCTCACCAAAGCTATAATGTCCCACATGAGGCAGTGTGTTGCTTTCTTTGCTGTTTATGTATGTGTGTGTGTGTGTGTGTGTGTGTGTGTGTATGTGTGTTGTTTGAGCACACACTTTCCCTCTCTCCCTGGTGGTGCTGGGGTGTTTGGCAGGATAAATATAGCTGCGTTGGTGTAAAGCTGTTTTCTCTTCGGCTTTTGTAGCTTTAATCAGAAGCAATCTGGAGGAGGGATAAATGGAAGGGAAAGGGGGGTGAGAGAGAGGGAGAGCAGGAGGAGGAAGAGGAGAAGGGGGGGGGGGGGGTACGAGGAAGAGAGAAAGGAGAGAGAGATGGCCGATGCCAGAGTGTTTTATTTTAGCTCTCTTTAAAGAGTCATTGGGGAGTGTTCAGGAGTAATGAGAACCCTGGTGGCTGGAGGAGAGGAACTGACTCTAACCTCCTCTCGCTCTCCTCCTCCATCCTCTCTGTTTCTGTTTCCTGCCCAACCTCATTTCCTCCGTCATCCCCCTCTTCCTCATTCTGACTCTGATCGCAGCACAGGACTATGACTATGGCTGCGTTCACACTGCGGGCATTCATGCTCCGCTCTGTCTCATATCTATTCTAGGATGTAACCCACATCCCTTATCGATATGAACTGACAGTGTTGTTGATGAAGAAAATAAAAAAAATGGAAGCTTGTGACGGTGTCACTGACCACATGAACAAATGACCCAAAAACAGAAAAACTCAATGTTACGGTACCAATTCTAACCATAGAGATGAAAAATGAACCATTGACCAACTATCTTACCAACAGGCTTCATTTTACCAGCTCTTTCTGGAGGTTTCAACTGCATGTCCTGGTCCTGCACAGTCAATAGAGATTGTGAAGTTGTCATGGAGAGGAATACATATTTGACAAACGAGCAAACTCCATCTGGTGAAGAAGATTGTAAGATGCGTTTGAAAGCTGCAGAAAAAGCTTAATATGTGAACCTTGAATTTAAATTTGCTGTTTTGGCTGGACCGACCATGGGCCAACGCTACATCTGTGACTGAGTGAGTGACTGAGTGACTGAGTGATGAAGTTACACCACTGAGTGTTGGACTTTTCCCATTGGCTCCAGCAGTTTCGATTACGTCATGACGTGATGTTTACAGTGGCTCCACAAGAGTTTTCAACCACTGTATTTTTCCTCAGATAGTGACCCAGGCCTTTATTTACCTCAACTGCAGAAGGTAACAGGCCTTTATTTCTAATTCCCTCTGTCTGATATGTAGAATTAGTCATACTGGTATTTTAGTACGATGCTTCGTATTGATCCACTCCTATTGTATTACACGCCGATACAAACTCAACACTACCTGTAATGATCGCAAATTAAAAGCTCTGTAGCATTTCAGTGGACACAAACCCTTTATTTCTTAACAGGGCTTTTATTGTTTTATTTTTTATTTTTTGTCTCATTTCTATTAAATATTGATGTTTATAAATAAGTGTTTTGGCATGTCTGGCGCTGTCCATGGTACTGAAAGCTGGACTTTGTTCGTTTTGTTGTGTGTGATCGAATGACTAAACAGACAACCAATTGACATAATTTGATTTGGTAAGGTAAATTGTGGGTAGTGTATTTGCATGGTGAGGTGTTTTAATAAATGTAATGATAATAAATTTGTGAATATATTTACATTTTGCTACATTAGACAACATTAAATACTGCTGCGCTGCTGTGTTCAAGAAGTTAGGCTTGTTTTAATAAAATGAAAAAAAGAGTTGATATTCCTCAGAGTAAGGCGTTGTGGAAAGTATTGTTTTCGTACCAATACTGCTACGCTACTGACACCTGTATCAAGTAAATCAAAGATTCTGTGACTGTGAATCCAGGTTTGTGTGGAGAAGGAAGGAGAAACTTACTCATACTCATACACAGTGTAAAATCTCTTTGTCACTTGAAATTGAATTCATTGTCACTGTTGAAATGTACTGACATCAGATGTATGTCATAGTTGTGTGATTCATGCGACTGTGTGCGTCTTTGTGATGACAAAACAAGATCTGAAGTGTGTCATGTGAGAGGAGAAACACTCGGCTGTAGTGTGTGCGAACGCAGCCAATGTATAGTCGTTGTGCATATGTGTGACGGGACAAACAGAAAGAAGAGAGGACGAGAGATATTATTTTGGCAGTGAGTTGAATATCCTTTCATTATTCAGTTGGCTTTGCCTTCGTCATTCGGAGGCCAAAAAGCAGCCCACAGTGGAAGCCAAGCTGCTCCCTGCTATAACTGCTGTGATGTTGATCTTAAAAGCTTCCATAAAAGCTTTTTTCTGGACGACTCATTGGCAGCAGTGCAGCTCTTTAGGAAGTGCATTGTTCCATTTCCTGTTTGACAGTCACTACGAGTGAAGCTGGGCCTCAGATTAGTGGCTGGCAAAGTAGTTGGCTGAGATGGTTTTCAGTGACTGCAGTAATGAATAGTTTCTTCCTCTTAGACACATTATTGTGATACTGTGTATGTCAGCTGCATTAAATTCCCCTACAGCGTTATGTCAATGTGTCATACATTATCTGATCTGTTTGTACAGAAACTTCATGAAGACATCCTGTTGGCAAGTCAGCGGATAAAAGCTGAACATCTAGACTGTGATTATGATCCCTTACCTGTGCTCCTTCTCTCCCAGGTGATCTGGGTGTGTAATAACTGCCGGAAGCAGCAGGAGATCCTCACCAAGCCGGGCGAGTGGTTCACCAGTCCGCCTGGAAAGCCCGCTGGCCTGGGATCAGCCGTCAGTGAGCCGTCTGTGTGCCAAACGCCCGGGGATAAGAAGCTCCGATCTCGCTCCCAAGCGCCCCCGGGCTCCACCACCGCAATCCAAGACCCCAACCGACCCAGTGCACCCGGGACCACAGCTGGCACCGATGCGCGGTCACGTAGCGAACCACCACGAGACACGTAAGAGGAAGCAGTACTGTAGAACTAGTGGTAAAAGACTAAATACAGGCAGGCCAGAGCAGAAAGATCAGTTTTACTTTAGTGATACAGAAACATTATCACACCTTAAATGTATTTACCAACATTTGACATGCTGCAATGACATGCAACCATTTTATCTGACAAACAAAGTGTGTTGTTATCCAGTCAAAACAAAGCCAACATCACTGAAAAGCTTGTATGTGAAGACACACACAGATGGGCAACAAATTAAAGAAGAGACTGTATCACTTCCGACATGGAATATGCAGCTTTACTGGAATTTTATCATTCAGACATACTGTAGGTGGCTTTTACAAAAATAGTGGGATGTGTTTAAAAGTAATGATACAAAAGAAGAGGAGTATTTTCTCTTTTCAGTGATAAGTTTCTAAACTCGTTTTGCCAACATTTTTTGAACAACTTTTCATTTACAGACATTAGTATTATTATGCAATATTACTCAATTATACAATTATACAGTACATACCTATTCTCTCTCTTAACGTCTCTCATGTTAAAAGGTAAAATCAACTTAAAGCATATGACAAAGTCAGTCATACAATTCAGCCTCTGACAAAGTAAAGATATACAGTACATAACTCATAGAAACAGCCACTGCAATACATTTAAAAAACACGCCTCCATCCCCTTCTCTATGGGGGCTGGAACAGTGACAGTAATAATAATAGTATTTTGACATTGAAAATGAAATGTGGCATTGAAAAAGTTGTATTGGAAAAAGTTGTATTGACACTGACATAAATACTGGCACTGAAAAAGTTTCCACTGAAGAATAAAACACTGGAATTAAAAAAAAAACCTACAATCATATGATCTTATCTTATTTAATTTTGATATTTTTTGTATTATGATGTTTTTTAATGTCAATCTTCAGATTTTTTCTTCGTGTCTGTCTTTTTTCAGTGACACTGGTTTTTCAATGTCAACTTTCTGGCCATTTTGGCCTAGAGAGAGGGGATAGAGCAAGGAGCGCTTGATTTATTTACCCTCAGACGCCTGACAGGACCGTATACCTAGGCAGTGGCTTACACAAGTTCACCTGCAGAAGCTCTCCTGTATCTCCATGTTGCACCCATGTGTTTTTGTTTCTCCATGGATATAAGTACATTGCACCATATTCTTGATTCAAGCACCAATTGTAATTGCAACAGTTTTCTTCCAGTTGAAAGCTCGTCACTTGTTTTGCCTGCGATATACCAAAATCTTTGGTATAGAAGCCTAAATTATTGAGTGCGAGGGATGTTCTCTCCCTCATCTCACACTCAGCGCCTTTTCTGAACTTTTCTTATTTTGCTTATATGCTGTATGTGAGGAGTGTTGCTGGATATTCATTCATGCATTTGGCTTAAATGAAAGTTGAAAACATCAGGGATAGAGTGCTGGTCCGATCAATATTGTGGTTGTGTGAGTTTTCATAACCTCTCTTGCTGCAGTCTCTGGGGTTGTCCCTGAGTCCACTCAGGGTCGGCACTTCTCACCGATGCATAATAATAATAATAATTCAGACAGATAATAAGCAGCCTACCTGCATGTGAATGGCTGTGTTATAACCAGTGTATCTTCTGCCACCTCTTTACACGTTCGCTAAAGTTGCAGCTGGCTGTATAGTGAAACTTCCCCCACCTCCTCCTCTGCGTCTGATGTAAAAGAAGAGTGTCGCTGTGAATGGCAATGTGCATTCTATAAATGTATATCTGTCCCAGTTCCATACTAAATAATATTTCCAGACAGATTTTGTGTCTGTTGTGTATTCACACTGCAAAAGTCAAAAAACATTAAGTGAACTCAAAAAGTCAGTATGCAGACTAAAAACTGCTTGATTTTTCAGTGTGCTTTTCTTCACACCGTTTTCCCACAAGGCTTTGCAGAGAGGAAATTAATGATGTGCTTATAGCTGCAAAAAATACAGGGTTGCCCCGAAGTCAGGGGGCGGGGTGTTGTCATCCTTGGTATATTAACTGGTCAAGCTTGTGGTTCGTGTATCCTGCTTTTTCTTATCTATATTTTTTGTTTATTTTTTATAAACACTTAACATTATTACTGATGTCTTTTCTTCATGACACTTTATTTGCAAATAGGAGAATTCTATCATTCACTCCGCTGCACATGTAGTTTTAGTTGAGCTCTGCTGCAGAGCGGCCACACTCCTCTACATGACTCTCCTCTTTGTTTTCTAAAGACCTCATGTTTTAATGCCTTTGCGTGTAAAAAAACATCAGATTTACACACAGTCAGAGAAAGTAAATGTTGGCGTCTTGGTGGTAGCTCGGTGTCTCTCCTGTCGCTCTGCTGACAGCGCTGTCTGGAGTTGTGCTGCCCTCTGTTTCCATCACAGTTAGTTTTGTGGTCAGTCATTTTAAGAGAATCTTTCAGAAAGTCGTACCAGACTCTGAACAAAAGAAAAAGTAATTTTATTGACTGATCTGACATGAGAAGCTCAACAATTCAACTTTGGCTCATTCACAGTTATCTGGTTTATTAATGTGATTTTCTTTTAATTGTGCAAAATGGAAGTATGCACAATGAAAGGTCTAAGGTCTCAGTGACCTCACAAAACACAGTTTTGGCCCCTTGAATGTGATATCTCAAGAACCCCTCATTTTTGTTAGATTTGGCACAAACATTCACTTGAACTCAAGGGTCAACTGATTAGAAATTGGTGCGCAAAAGGTCAAAGGTCAATGTTACTGTGACCTCACAAAACATGTTTTTGGCTATGACTGAAGAATTCATACACTAATTATGATGCAATTTAACTCAAACGTCTATAAGGATAAAATTAAGTTATGATATTTCATATCCAAAAGGTCAAAGGTCAACTTCACTGTGACATCATAATGTTCTGCAAAGACACCTTGTGACCATATTTCCTGCAACATTGCTGGTAGGAGGAGGGATTTAGTTAAAAGCTCAATCAATCTCCAAAGCTGGGGGTTGACCCCAGTGACATCACCACGGAAGATTATACAACTGTCCTCATAAGTATAGCAGGACTAACTATGACCAGTAAAGTGGTCTTGATGTGTGAAATTGGTTTAGTGTCCATTTAAGCCAACAGAGAGAAAACAGCTCGTATGAAATATGTTAATATTTGTTCTGTCGAGCATTATCTCCTGTGTTGTAGGCAGTGGTGGATTGTGGTTCTTTGGAAAGCAGTCTGTTGTTGCTTCCTGTGCCATTCTGAGTGTAATGGAAGAACGCAGTCAGTTCCAAAACACTGGAGAGTAGAATGTGTTTTCACTGGTGACTTTCTATTAGTGGACACTAATGTTAACAATGAATTGGTAAGAGATGCAAAATCATACCAGTGTCGTTTGTTATAGTTAACAGTGAAGCAGAAGCTAAAAGGAGTCAAAATACAGCAAGGTCTCTCACATAATCGATCACTCAGCCACATTAGCTAAATTATTTAGCTTACACTTCTGTTTGCTACAACTGGTGCTATAAAAATCAGTGACAATAAAAAGTACAATTAAAGGCTTTGTTTGTATTTTATTTTTTTGTTTTTCTCAAGATCATTTTTTGCCATTTTACTGCCTTTATTGATGCCAGTAGAGAAGCCAGAGAAGCCTGTAGCCAGGAGTCGAACATTGTGAGGATGTCATGTGATGTGCCTCAACTACTAGGCCACTGGGGTGTCACTTCACATGCTTAGGTCCTATATAGTATAAAGTGAGATTTTGATTATAAAGCAGGTCTAGGTTCTATATTAATACTGTGAAAGTATCAAAGCCTCAGTCCACAGAGAAATGCACACAGCCTGTATTCAGAGACTGAGCCTTAAAACCAGCCGTCAGGACTTCTGGAACTTTGTGATGTCACAACAAAGCAGTCACCACCCTCAGCCATGCGCCAAGCCCTGCCCACCTGGACCCACCATCCAACCTTGTAGGATCTGATTTCTCTCAGCCTCCTCTCTTCTGATTGGCTCACTGACCTGTTGTTACTAGAGCTCCAGAGAGAAGCCTGAGAGAGGAGATGTAAAACTACATTCAGATGGTTTTTGGTTCTAAAAACCACAAATATATCTTCTTATGGATCAACACTTCAAATAAAACACAGAAGAAGAGGAAAATATGGGACCTTTAAATTTGAATTTCATGTAGTGTTGAAACAAGTTAGTTAACAGATACAAAACTGTCTGCCATTTTGATAATCAGTTACTCACTGAAGGTCCTCCTAGATCATGAAATGACATTCATGGTCCCCAGAGGTTAACTCCTGCTGTCCATTGACTTTCCCTCTAGCTCCAGTACTGTGGTTTTGAGTGAAACAAACTACCTCAGTTGTTTATTACTTTGATTTACGACCAAATACCTTCAAAACTATTGACAAATGATGCTAACATGCTGAACTGAATCATGGTGAGCATTATCTGCTAAATATCAGCATGTTAACATTGTCAGTGTGAGCATACTGATGTTAACATTCAGCCAGTGCTGCTAGCGTGGCTGTAGACTTTCTAACATCTTTACATAAAATAATAGAGACATAATTATAGACATAATTATGAGTTGCAGCCAGTGCAGAGGAGCTCAAAACATTGAATGAACCAAAGATTGCACATTCAACTTTTAGCTTAGCATTAGCTCTTTCTAAACACAGGGTGGTGATATCAGTAGTAAAGCTACTGTAGGTTTCCAAATACACACATGAGGATTTGCACGTCTGTTTTCATGGCCAGTGAAAGCTAAGAAGAGATGATTTACACTAACATGACCTGAGCAAACGTAAGGTAGACATGTTAGAAAGGTTTCTAACCTGGCTTTATCCTTTCAGTTTAATCTCACACAGCAATTCTCCAGGAGTTTAGATACAGTATCCTGTGATCTATGTGCCTGATATACAAAACCTTGTTTTCCAACAACTCTCACCTCTTCTTTTCTTCCCCTCTCTGTCCCCATATCGATTATTGCCCAGGAGAAACGGGCGGGGAGGTGGAGGAGCTGGTCGGGGAGAGAGGCGGGCGGGCCAGCCCAGGCTGCAGACCCAGGTTTCAATGGACCGGGACCTCCGGGGGGAGTCCAGGGAGCGCAGGGAAAGCCGGCGACTGACAAAGGGACGCTCTCTGGAGCATGATCCTGTGGGAGGAGGTGGCGGAGTAAGGCGGACAGAAGAGGGGGGCTACCGCCACATGGACCACAACGGTGCTGCCCCTTGCCAACCAGGGCTGGTCCCTCCTGGAGGCCGAGGACACCCTGTGCCCATGCAGGGTCGTGGCATGGGCGTAGCAGGGGAGCTCGGGGATGGCGTTCGGCCTGGTCAGAGGACGGTGGGTGGGGTTGGTGGGCCGCATGAACACACCCTTGCTCAGCAGGTCCCTCCCCCTGAACTCAGAGAGCCTCCTGGTTCGGGACCTGGCTCAGCCCCCGGCCAGGGACCTGTAGTGAGGCGGACCAAACGGGAGAAGGCTGAGAGCATGCTGCGCAACGATTCGCTAAGCTCTGACCAATCGGAATCTCTGCGTCCGCCACCGCCAAGGCCCTACAAGTCGAAACGAGGGCTGGGGGCCGGAGGTAAGAGACAAACCAGCGTCAGCAGTTCGGAGGAGGAAGGAGGGACAACGCCTGAGTACAGCAGCTGTGAGGACGCTGAGATCGAAAGTGTCAGCGAGAAAGGTCAGAGACATAATCAGTCATCGCTCTTCTTTCATGAAAAAACTGTTGATGGTTTTCAATGAGGGTTTAATTTGCTTTAATTATTTACATCTGTCAGTTCATTTGCTTATTGATCCATCACATGACGTATCTCAGGCACAAATGATCCGTCTCATCACTGTTTAATGACAGTTTCTAATACTGCTCTAACTACGAGTCAGCACTAAAAATCTTAACAACTTATATAATAATAGTAATAATAATAATAATTATAATAATTAAATAAGAAGTTTCTCTATAGAGATGTTGCTCAAAGTGCTTTACAATGAAAATTGAAATAGGACAATAAAATCAGGGTGAATAGAAGGACAATGAAAATAGAAAATAGACACACAGTGCATGATAACATAACATGAGATAATTCATTAAAAGCCAAGTTAAATAAATATGTTTTCAGCTGCTGTTTAAAAATGTTCACTGAGCATCTCTTACAGCTCTTGGCAGGATGTTCCATGGTTTTGGAGCCTAGTTAAAAAAAAAACATTTCTCTCGTATCACATGTTCAACTGACATTACATTCAATGCACACGTCCTACACTTGCTCTAAAAATGTGTTATAAGCCTCTTTTGAGGCATCTGTAAGATGTTTCTAGTTTCTATGTTTGTGGTGATGGTGGCTCTCATCACTCTGAAGTAATGCCAACTCTTACACTCCCTAGATAACATAATACACTCTCTAGATTCCTGTTGGTGATATCTCTTGTGTAGAAATTATTAAGCAAACAAACAAAAACAAACAGCTTCATTCATTAGATTCTTTGATTCTTGCAGTACTTCCATTAATGTCCTGCTCATAGAAATGAGCTGAGAACCACATTCATACTAGATACTAATTCTCTACTAAGTCTAATTGTAGACAGTATGTTCTATTTGCACAGCTTGTAATTATATACTGAATTTGCAGTTAGTTTGCAAAAAAATCAATATCAATCAATAAACCTTATCATTAGCGCTGAGAGGAATTTTATATATATAAGTGACTTTAGGTGCAATTCAACTTCTCAAAGAGAAAGCAAAATGTTTTTTTACATACATGTGTCTTTATAAATATCTACATCTCTATAAATAGAATTTTTTCCGGACCATTTATTTCCTTTCTGCAAGGTGTTGTGGGACAGTCGTGTCCAGCAAAGCACACTCATAAATCAAGCAGTTTTTAGTCTGCAAACTGACTTTTTCAGTTCACGTAATGTTTTCACTTTTCAAGTGTGAATACACAACAGACACAAAACCTGAAATATGATTTATATTAGTATGGAATTGGGACAGATATACTTTTATAGAACGGCCATTCATATAGACACTCCTCTTTCACTTCAGACACAGAGGAGGAAGTAGATGACCTATAGAGAGATTTGTCTGCTTCAGCTGAAGCGTTCTGCATGTAGCTGATCAGGTTCACTACACTGCCACCTGCAGGTGCAGGTAACTTGTAAAGAGGTGGCAGAAGATATGTGGTTATAACACTGCGATGTAGGCAGCCATTAACACGAACTTATAACTGATACATACAATCAGCAAAGAGAATCAAACAGCTGCAAGTGCTCTTATTGAAATGACTTGAGGCTAATGCTTGTCTCAAAGAGTGACCCCTGGGGGACATTTCGTTTTAACTGTTACCTTAATTTATTTTTTTTATGTTATTACAATCCCGGTCGCACAGTGTCTCCTACACCTGCAGTGTACTGTGTAAATCACCCTGATTAGATCAGTAGGATGAGGGATAATCAGAAACACATCTCACTAACAGAATTTACAAACCTCTTCAACAGGACTCTGTGCAGTAATAGTATTCATAAGGAAATAACGATATAATACGATTGATCTGACACACTTGTGCTGTTTAATGTGATTGCGCTGTGTGAGGTATGAGGCATTGCATTTTCAGTGTGTGTGTGTGTGTTTGAGCACGCCCACTTGATCACACTGTATCATGGGATATGAATGTAAGAAGTGGAGCGAGCTCTTTGGTCTCAGTCTTTATTCCGTCTTCATTCAGACATTGTGAATGTGGAGACTCGTCTCTGCTTTAACTCTGTGTGTTCTGTCATCAGGACAGGTAAGGCTGCTCTGACACAACCTGCTGATTCTGGAAAATACTGCATGCTCCACCTTGTGCTCTAGACTGTAGTGTAGTATCACACACCAAACTACTTGAAAACATGAGCATATTACCAACTTCCTAAATGCAGCATTTGATATTTGTCATGTGGCTGTGTGGAGGAACACCAAACCTCCTGCAACGTTCTCTAACTTTTGTGCAGAGTGCATGCAGCGGGCCGTAGCCGGCAGTACCGTCAAAGTGAGCAGCTGTACCAGTGTGCATATTAACGAGTGTGTGTGAGCCCGTGTGCGTATCTGAATGTTTTGCCTTTGTGTCATATTGTATTGTTTTCAGCTTGCTCCCCGAGGGGGACAATCCCACACTGTGCGTACGTGTGTGTGCGTGTTAGTGTGTCTGTGATGGGGCAATTTGACCCCAGCTGATCCCGGTGTTGACCTTGTGTGGCCTCACATAGCCAACTATGTCCCCAAGCCTGAGAACACACTGCTGTTTACACTCTAACCTTGTCATGTCCAAGCTGGGTTAAGTCACTTTACTATTAACAGTTCCACGGCACTTAGGCTCACTGCCATGTATTCAAGCAATATTCTACTACTCCAGCAGCTTATAAGCCCCGGTCTAGTGCTGTTGTAGGTCTGCTGCAGAAATGTTGCTATTACACCAGAAAAGCCTTGTGGCTGGAGCTGAGCAATGTCACTGAAGAGATGAGATATGTCATCTGCGAATTTTTCATAATATTGTAATGGAGTTTAAATGTTTTCTTTTCCTAGTAACAAGGTCATAATGAAAAACTCATACAACTCCTGAATTTTCTGACTATTAGCTGAGTGAACGGTTTCCCTTTCTGTCCTTCAAACCTTGGAAAGGCCTGTCCTGCAAAAGTTTAGAAATTGCAATGAAATGATGTCACTGTCACAAGTCACCAGAATTTATTTTTGTCATTTATGGAATAGGCTCTTTATTCAGGGACAAGGTCAATTTGAAATCAAGGATAGCATGTTTTCAGCATTTTACTGGTTTGAATGTTATTACAGATGTGCTTAATTCAGACATAGAATGACTGAGAATCAGCTGTTCTTGAATCATGAGACACTGTTTTGAAATACTCCTCTGGTCACAGTTAAGCAGCAGCTATGCTACCTATAACTTTTTTTAGCCACACGAGTGTCTAGCTTTTGAGGTTGTCATACAGTCGGTCAGTCCACTGCTTCGACACTAAATGATGATGTAATTATTAACACCGGTATATATGACCTAAAGTCCAGAATGAAGGGTGCAGAGCAAACCGACCTAAATCCAGTTAACTTCCACATTTATACACACAGAAATGTAATATAGGACATATATGTCCTATATTAAGAGATCTATAAGGGGATATATATATATATATATATATATATACACATCCTCTGGATATATGAAGATATAAGTTTACAACATAAATGAAATAACCATAGTAAAATTTGCATATGTACATATAATACGAACAAGTTTATTAAAACTATATAAAGATTCTATTTGCTTATATATGTTTTTGTAATTAATTTCTCAATAATTTTAAACATGTTTATCTTCACATTATCTGACCTTTGGACCCTACTTCCTATAATATCAACATACATTGACAGGCTTTGGGGTGTATATATAACATATGTCTACAATATTAGCATACATACATACATTTGTATGGGCTTGACATATATGTCAAGATGTGAAGTCGTTCTAATGTCTAATAGGTTTCATATATCATTTTTACATATATATTTAAATTTTATATATATATTTGATATATGGAAATTCAATATACAGTATGTACATGTATTACATTTGCGTATGGGACTAACTGAAAACTTTGTGACTTGAGCCTTGATGATATGCTGTGGTCGCAAACTTAAGTAAAGTCTATTCAAATAAAATCAATCCATGCTAAAATAAGAATAGAATGATAAGTAAGTAATAGTTTATTGTTCAGTGACTCAAGTTCATAGTTATCTGTTCTCTATCTTCTTTTTATTTACTGTTACATGACAGCTCATGTCATTTTACAGTTAGTACCTAATAATGTTGACAGTATTTAAAAAACACAATGCATCTGACTATAGCCATGCTCATGCTACATTATGGCTTCACTGTCACTGGACGCTGACATTGATAAAGTGCGGTGCGTCCAATGTGAAAGAGGCTGCATGCAGCACCAGCCTGGACCCAGACCAGACACTGTGACATCAATCAAGTGGAGGTTTAGTATGAGAGTGTCCTGTCGAACCACGTTCTAAACACACTGTTGTGGCAGCGAGACGCTGCTTCCTTTTTTAGCTCGAGACTGAGGCCAGGTCAGCTCCAAGATGTGGTTGCTGGCAGCCGATACGCATCCAGGCATGTAAATCATTGTACGATCAGTGCAGGAAAAGACACACACACACACACACACACACAAACACACACACACACACACACACTCAAATATGCAGTCAGTCACAGTACAGTAGATCCTATTATGATCTGTGCAAGTATCCTCCTACACACAAACACACACTACGAACTCATCCTCTGATAGGAGCACAACAAAAAACACAACAAATAGTACACGTGCACTTTGACAACTTTCACTTTCTACCTCCTTATCTCAGAGTTTTTCAACCTTTTCTGGCCCGTGAACATTTATTTGTCCCAAAAATTCAAAATTATAGTTTTTCTAGTTTTTCTAGTTTGTTTTAGAAATTAACCACTAATCATACAATTAAAGATAAGATAATTATACTTCTATCTTACAAACCAAGGAGCGACCATTTAGTGTGCCTGTTCCTCTTAGTTACTTACTATTATGCACATATGCATTTACACAAGTAACAAAAGCCTGGATCTTATTTCTGGCCAGTAACTGTCTTTTTGAACAACTTTTAGCAGCTGAATAACTTATGCGTCATAACTCCGTCAGCTGGCTAAAAACCAAAACATCCAGCGGATGCATTAGACTAAGGCTGAAGCACTAGTAAAAAAATACAGCAAAGCGTTGTACTCTTATATTGAAGTGTAGCACTAGCTAGTTCTTGAATTATCAGTGTAATAAGGTAAAATGTCAGAACAGACTTTCTGTACAAGAGAAAAGGCTGTTAGGATGGTGGTAGGCAAACACAAGACTTTTTTCTGAGAAGTTGACGTTGGTTTGTCTGGGGTTACTGGAGTGTAAATGTTCCCTAATCCATTAAAGAATAATAAAGGGAAGCTAAAGCTAGCTTCAACTGTGATAGTTTCAAGGTCTAAGCTTTTATTGTTATTTGTAACAAAACGTCACAGCTCGAGGGAAGAAGCTTTTGTAGAGCCTGGCAGAGGAGGTCTTGGTACTCCACTACCTCCGGCCAGATGGTAAGGGGGTGTTTTGGCTGTGGCTGTTGTGGGTGGAGCTCTTCACAATGCTGAGGACCTTGTGGGTGCACTGTGGAGCGGGGAGAAGCACTGATGATGATGATCCTCTTCGCTGTGCTTACTGTTCACTGGAAGGTCTTACAGTCAGAGACCTTGCAGCTCCTGTACCAAACAGTAGGCAGCGATGGTTGAAGTGACGGCTACGCCACCCGTATATATCCCAACGGGTTGCCACAGAAATAGAAATGAAAGATCACTAAGCAACATTTGACTCGAACAACGGCTATTTCTCTACTTCAGGAAACCGAGGCCGTTCTGAACACTGCCTCAACATGTCTTTTAAAATGACCTGGGCGCTCTTGATATTTGCTCTAGAGACATTTAAGAGACGATTTAATATCAAATGAGGAGTTTGTATAAATCCGTCTCTTATTCAACACCACGGACAGTGTCATGGTTTCATTAACACACCTTATCAACAGTTTGTGCTGACATGTCTATGAATAAACTGGACGTATAACGTATAATTGAATATAAATGAAATGAAAGTTTCAAATGTAACAAAAAACAAAAAAAACTTGTAACTCCTTTTGTATCACAGGGTACGGCAAACTCTTACAGGCACAGACAACAGGATAGACAGGAGATCTAGTAGGGTTAGCTGTTAGCCTAGCCCAGATACTTCCACAGGTGTCGTACTTCCGGATGCTGCTTGTCTGAGCTGCAGCATGGTGGCTGGCTAAGCGAAGCAGGCCTGGACTCCACAACTTGTACAACGGCTTTGGAGTTTTATGTGCTGCATGAAAGGTAGTCTTTTTGGCTGGACCAACTATGGGCCAGCACTACATTCACGACTGTCCATGACTGACTGAGCGCAATGAAGTTAGCCCACTGGTCAACTGGTTGGACTTTTGACTGTTTCTATTACGTCATCGGGGGGGGGGGGAATGGGAATGTTTTTAAAATGTAACATGTAATCCCATAAACTAATTTGATTACCCAGTTACTATTGTAGGAAGTAAGCTAACCTTTTTCTCTTTTGTAATTGGTTTTGAAAGGTTACAGAAAAAAAGACGCCGCACTCCAAACTTTTTCTGAGCTGTGATTGGACAGTTGTTGTTGAGAGGAGGGGTTTAGTGAGCAGTCAATTGATGTTACTGGTCAGTGCAGATTTCACTTTACATAAAAATGGGTTCAATTTAGGGTCACATGGGTTCATGTGAATTGATATTTTCTATTCCTTTAAATATAAAAATAACCCCAAGGATTATATTTTAAAGAGGATATATTTCACAATCACTACTATTCATTGTAACTTATCAATCCCACATCGATGTGTCAGTTTGCTGAATGTCATACAACCCTGTCTGTATAACAGGTGACCTCACATGTTGTCCTAACCCCCTACTGAGTTTGATCGCTTTTCATGTCCTTGTATGTGTAGAAACACAAGAGCACACACACTCACCCATGTGGCCCACCCACTACACAGAATTATGTTCACGCTTGAGTTATGAAACTGAGAACTCGGTTGTCTATTGTCAGAGCGTTTGCTTTAAGATTACATAATGTCACTATAAGTTGTCACAACTCATTAACCTCATTGCCTCCTGGCTCCTAGGAGCGCTTGGCTCTGTTTTACTCTGTGTCATAACAGTGTCGTTGAAGTCCTGCACACATTTCAATGCCGCCGCCCCCCCTGGCCCCGTTTGTATGGAAGCAGGGGATGGGGCTGAACCATTGATAATATTTTGTCTGATTGTCTAAAGTATCCAGCAGGACGTGAGGAAAAAGCACCAGACAGTTGATACTGAAAGAAATCGATGTGTTTTCATAGATGCAGCTTTATCATTACTACAAGCAGCTATTGATTTGAAGTGAAACTCTGCCCTTTACTAAATCATAGGAGCTTATTTATTAACATTTAGCAAAACAGAATTCCTACTCAAAATCCTCTCGCTAGCTTTTTCCAGAGCTTTCAGCTGTATCGTACTGTCTTCATGAGTGAGTAGGGCTTGCTCAGCTGCCACAAAGACGGATCTGTGGCTCCAGAGGCAGACACATCAGTAAACGTAATTGCAAAAGGTAAAATTGGAAACTTTTCATCAAATGTTTAAATTATTTTAAATGATTCAAATTTAAATATTTAAAATAAACAAAATATCCAAAAAAAGGCTGTGAATCAATTTTAAAAGGCAATTATTGAAGAGATAATAAGTAATTACTAAAATTTAAATGACAAATTTAATGACTCATTTTTATAGAATTGTGTGTTATAACACATGATGTAAATGCCAGTTTAATTACAACTATTACAACTGTCTGTTTATTACTTAAACACGGTCAAAGTCTGTTTAATCCAGCCTCTGTACCTACATGAGTATGAATAATTACATAAGGATAAAAAAGGAATAAAGGAAAATATTCATTATTCTGCTGATTTTCTGCCTCTCTAATAGATGTTTGGTTTTGTTGTTGAATGTCATGCTTCACAATAATCATCAGTATGAGGTCATCGTCATTTACCCAAGTTTTTTTTTTTTTTTTTTTTTTTAGCCTTACATCACTGTGTTAGCCCTGGAGTAATTCCACAACATCTAATCTGTAAAATATCTGGGAGGGATTTCAAGCATTTCTAAAGGCTTAACTGTCCTTTGGTATCATCGCTGCCTCGGCGGACTACTTTGCGCCTGAATGCTGCTGCGGTGATAAATTTCTAATTCTAGCCCAGGCCTGAATATTCAACAAACTTAACCCTCTTCACTGTAAACAAATACCTTCTGAAGAGCCCCCAAATTTGGCTGAGCTGTGTATAGGAGGACTCAGGCTGGTATGTGCTGTGTATACAGTTTCTGTGCTGTATGCGTCGGTGTGTGTGTGTGTGTGTGTGTGTAGACGAAGGGGATATGAAGGAAGTTGTTTTTTGCCACAGTGTCTGAGCCGGTCTCTTTTCTCTTGCAGGTGACTGGGAGTGCTACCCTCATGACCCCACTGTGTGGCATGTAAGTCACTGTTTCATGTTTTTCATGTGAAGTTTTCAAATCAGCGTGAAAGGAAAAAGCAGGCAGCATTTATGTGCATGTTGTATATGAATGACTGGTGCTGTCAGGTGCTGTGCGTCCTGTACTTTTCTTGCATCTTTGGTAGATGAGATTTGTCTTTCTGCTGTCTCTTTATTTAATAGAAATAATCCATTAATGTAAAACACACGACTTCTCATGTGCCAGACACCTTTCCCCAGGAAAACACCCACCAGACCCTGGGTGTTTACACCAGCAAGTCTAAAGGCTTTCACTAAATGAATGTTAAGTGGCTGTTGTGTTAAATCAATCGGTGAGCAAACCTTAGCTCTAATTTATTCCTCGGAAGATGCTGCAGACTGTCGCAACTTTCGATACTGTGTGATCCAAGGTAGCAAAACTTAAGCTAATGTGTTCCAAGTATAGTGATGCCAATTGTTGCAACCTTGGAGATTGAATTCAGATGTAAATGCACCCACGATGCATTAGGTTTCCATTTTCTACACACTATTAATAATCATCGATCCATGTGCATGTTTAACATCTATTCTAAAGGGGAACTTATACATGCTGATCCAGCAAGGATGCTGACATCATTTAGATGGATATCAACTTAATGTCAAAGACAATCAGTATTCAGTGAATCAATCAATCTAGACTTTACTGCAGCCAAAACATTATCAAAATAAAAAAATGTTTCTCCTTGTATTTCTTTGCTTCCTTTTGCAAAAATGTGCAAAAGCAATCGAGGCAAGTTGTGTATATTTGCGCATATGTCTTTTTGGGTTTCAGTGTGTGCATCTGCACATATGTCATGTTGTGTCCTGTTGCAGCATCCGGTAACCTGGCAGCCATCCAAGGAGGGAGACCATCTGATTGGACGAATCACCCTCAGCAAGAGGAGCGCTGCAATGCCTAAAGAAGCCGGGGCTCTGCTGGGGTTAAAGGTCAGAGCGTGGCTGAAAAACATTATGTTATTAATACTTTTAATTCACAGTTTTCAGTCACTGTTGTCTACCTGCCTTTCTCTCTCTCTCTCTCTCTCTCTCTCTCTCTCTCCCTCTCTCTCTGTGTGTGTAGGTGGTGGGAGGAAGAGTGACAGAGTCAGGGAGATTAGGTGCCTTCATCACTAAAGTTAAGAAGGGTAGTCTGGCTGATGTGGTGGGACATCTCAGAGCAGGTAAACCATCACAGACGTCACACTATTTACAGATCCTCACAAAGACAGTAAAGCCAAATGATGTAAATAAAGGACTTTAAAAGTGTCTTACAAACATTATATTTTATTAGAGCTCTTATTTTTTAACCTTGCAATGGCAGTTTTATTTATGATGCATGATTTTCTAACTCTAACATTAATTGGGGTACGTTTATCCTACTATATCTGTGCATCTCTGAGTTTTTCTCCTAGTGGCTTTATGGTGTCATATCTATAATTAGCTTTTTTTAGTTTCAACCTATTTGAACTGTTTTTATCTTATTGGTCTTACATTATAAGGACTTAAAGTGTAAAGCTGGCAATAATACTAAATAATGTTTTTATTGTTAACAAACAAAATGAAATAACCAATAATAAACTGATGCTAGCTTGAGCTATCTTGTTCCTCTGTGCCTCAGAGTTCCATTGTTTATTAAACACATCATTGCGCTGCTCTGTTGCACTGGGTGACATGTTCCTTCATTACCATGAACACACGCACTGTAGTTTATTTTTAGTATTTCCAGTCCGACATACACTGACTCACCAAATCTGAGAGGACCAAATCTGTTTTAATCCGCAGCTGAAAATAGTCCCCCATGGAAGGACTATTTAGTCCTATTTGAATAACATTTACTAAAACTACAATGTCCAGAAGTTTTAGGAAATTACTCAGCCTCTTTTTAACTAACCATTTTTATTTGGATAGCGAAGCCACTCGTTGGTGTTGGTCTTTTCATTAAATATTCCAAAAGAAATTTATAGAACAACACCGGGCTTTAATTTATCTTTTTTAAACCTGCTGATAACCTGATATATATATACACCCTCCCTGCCCAACTTGGTCAATATAAATATGGTGTAAAGCACACACATGCAAAGAAACATGTGGCTGCTGCACATGTCGAGGCATCATCACATGCACATGCATGTCTGATTTCAGGGGATGAGGTTTTGCAATGGAACGGGAAGCTGTTACCAGGGGCGACTATGAAGGAAGTTTACAACATCATCCTAGAGTCTCAAGCCGAGCCTCAAGTGGAGCTGGTGGTATCCAGGCCTATTGGGTAAGTCAGGAATGAAACACACCCAACACACTACCGTTGCCTTGTGCTAATATTTGTCATAATGAAACCCTTTAGTTTTATGAATCAGTCACCAGTCTGCGTGTTGCACTGAATTTAACCCTTACTGAAACAGGCAGTGCTGACCGAGGTTCTGAGTCAGAGTTGGCTGACCTCAGATAAGACAGAAGACAGGGATGTGTATTTGTATTCTGACTGCGACTGTGCGACTGCATTCAAAATATTAAAAACACCCAGCCATTACCTGCTGCTGGGGGCTGCCAGGTTTTGGAACAGGAGACTTCCATTTAGTCTCATACGCCCCCTTTAAAAAAGCACTCACGTTTAATTGTGGGATGGTGTAAGGTGAATTATTATTGACCCAATAAAATCAGCTGTAAAAGACAGGAAGTGGCTGCATCACATATTTGAGGTTGATGCCAAGCTCGTCGTCAGCTGCAGTGCAGTAGGTACTTGTAGTCTGACACTGCTATTTGAAAGAAGATATAATTTGAGTTTAGTTTTTAATGTTTTCCACGATTGTTTTGGTCTATAAAGGAAAATTCACTCTAGCCGTTTCTCGATTGATGATTGAGAAATGCCATGGATGCAGTTTTTACCAGTTTATTAAGTTGCTTTAATTTGATTAGAGCAGACATATTAATTTGATATTTGATAATTTGATAATTTAAAGTGGTGGAGTAGGCTGTTCGAGGAAAAGCACGTATCATTCCATACAAACAGAAAACATCCATTTATGCAGATTTACAGACTCATACCTTTATTAATGTTTATTATTCATCTGATCATGTTTTTATTGATCTGCTCTGGCTATCACTGAATACCTTGAACTCTCAATTCACATATGTATTTGTAACTATGATAATTTGTTTACATACATTGAATTTATCTCACTCTACTTCAAGAGCAGATGTTATGTATCTTAAAAAAATGTTAGTTAATTATTTTACAGGTCTGCAGGTCTAATAATTTTTTCTCTGAAATTTCTGGAAATTTAAAGAAAATATTCATTCATTATGAAAATGTTTATTCTCTGTATGTTGAATTTAATATTTCCCTGTAGACAAATTTCACATTTTTTGCATGTTCAGCTCACCTGTTGTGCACAGACAAAAATACCCTAGTTTTTTCTTGCAATTAATTGAAATGTATTAAATGAAAATGTGCTAATTTAACTTGTCTGATTAGTAAGTTAAATAATTCTGTAATGGAAATTTTCAAGGAAACTATTAAAAATGTATTATTTTATATTTACATTAAAGGCATTTACAGACCTGGAAAATAAAGCATTACCATTAAATCTCATTTTACACATTTGACACAAATCTCTCTTCAAATACAGTTTTTCAAATATTCTACTAAATTGAGATGAAGTGCTTTGTCAAACTGCACTTTATTTTTATCATGGAAAGACAAATCAAACCTTAAATTCTAGTCAAATAATCTCAGATAAATGATGTCATTGCTCAAGATACTTTCAGTCTCTCTCATGGAGTTCCAATGTTCAAGTTGTGCTTCAGCATTTTAGCTAATTATTGTTTTGAATAAGATCATTAGACATACAGTTAATATTAGACATACAGTATTTCACAGTGAAATACTCACTATGACTTCAAGGTTTTGCAGCTTTAACCTCATTTGCTCTTTGATGAAAAAAAAAGTTGAATGTATTAATTTCTCTCCAAACACTCGCGAAGGGTGTGTAGAAAATATCAGTAAGTAATCTGCCCATTTTATTAGGAACCCTTAATCCTCTCACGCATATGGAAACAGTTTTGGTTTTTCCCGGGCGCCATTTTGCATCTTTAAATGAACTGAAGTGAATCCTGTTAAGTCAGGATGCCAATTGATGCAAATATTGGCTTCATGAAAATTGCTGAAATTTGACATCTACAACTAAAGTAAGATGAAAGCTGACTTGAACAGATGCAAAATGGCCAATGGGAAATGTCCATCAATGTAGCATTGCTTTTGCAAGCTTTTTAAGCAGCGGTTGGGATTCCTCTTTTTTACTCCTGGTAAAGTCTGAGGATCCCAAAGTAAAATCTAGCAGCGTTAAATCAAAATGCTCTTTTCTGCTCTAATCTTAATCTCTTGGTTTTGGAAGTTGGGACATTGGGATTCATGTTTTCTATTTTTTTATTTTGGAATGGGCTCCAAGGCAGCCGAGGGTCCATGAAACACTTATCAGTTTAATGTTTGTATTTAAAATCAATATCAAATAAGAGTTCAACATTTTGCTTCCTCTCCGAGAGTGAAATTATAAATTGGATATCAATCTCATGCTCTCATGTGAAGTACAGAGCTGGAGCTGGGAGGCAATTAGCCTAGCTGCCTCTAGTATTTATGCTAAGCTAGGCTAAGCACAACTCGACTCCAGCTTTGTACTTATCGCATTTAACTCTCAGAAAGAAAGTGTTGATCATAAAATGTTGAGCTATTGCTTTGAGTGACTAAAGAATTTCAAACACTGTACAGCCTCTTTATGTGCTACCAAACAAACACCCTCCAGATCTCTGTGGTGGGCTTGCAAAGTTAAAACACTGAACCTTTCTCCTTTTTTAAATGTTAAATTTAAATGGACAAAACACACTGATAAGAGTTACATAGATTACCATGCTTTCTTTATATTACATGAAGCTGGTACAATGGATTCTGGTGTTTCCCATGGGTGTGGACAGACCTGAGCTACAGTGCGGGCAGAAGCCTATTGGTGCTCATCCATTTTTTATCTCAGATAATGATTGGCCTGACAAAAAAACAGCTGACAGAGTCTGGGAAACACTGCAGTCATGAGAAGAGCTTGGCTCTATTCACATCTTCCCTTTTGCTTCTTTTCGACCACGTAACATTTCAGTCTCAAATAACTTTTAATTATGGTGCTACTTTCCTCCAGCAAACTGCTACTACATTAATATGCATGTGTGCCTGTGCATCAAGAACACTACTAACTTTATTTAATCCAGTGAGATGTTAGTAAGAGAGTGACTTACTTGTATGTTCGCTGCTTCTCTTTCAGTGATATCCCAAGAATCCCCGACACGTCCCACCCTCCATTAGAATCTAGTAGGTATCTCCCGTGGGATGTTGGAACATCTCTGTATTTGTACATCCGTCTGTATTTTTCTCTTTCTCACAGTTAAAGCGATTGTTTGGGTTATTTGACGTGGGGTTGTGTGAGGTACTAATCTATAGTCAGTGTTACCTGCAGTAGATTCAAACAGCAGGAGCACTGGCACAGAAGCTGAGTGATGTGCTGCTGTGGACGTGTTTTAGCTACTTTAAAAATGCAGACAGAAAAAAGCTAATGTCAGTTGAGGTGTTTGCTTTATTTTGAAAATATTCACCACTTTATTTTGCCTTCAAACAGCCCTTTCCTTTGGAACTATAGTTTGTGAACCATTGAACTACTGTATTACTATGCACAAGTGCACCTACGGCGCGCACTGTATTACTCCGCAGATTGAGTCAGACAGAGCTAAGCCTAGTTGTGCTTGTGTGTAGGAATACGGTAATTCAACGGTTGAAAAAATGTAGTTCCAATGGAAGGGGCTGTTTGACGGTGAGATAAAGCAGTGAAAATATTCAAACACTTCAACTGATCTTAACTTTTTTCTGTGGGTATTTTGTGTGGCTAAAACAAGTTTTTGCAGATGGCCCATCACTCAGCTACTGTCCCGGTGCTTCTGGCTGTGTCTCTAAACTGGGAGCGTGCTGATCTGAATCTACTGCGGGTAAGACACCTCACACAACCCCACGTCAAATCACACAAACTGTCACTGTCACTTTCTCTGATATGGGAAAATTAACTTTGCAAAATGGAGCACTTTGCACCATTTTTGTATTGGTTTGTTCAGGTTCATACTTAGCTAAAATTGCACCAGGATTTACACTTAATCAGTGAAACACAGAGCAAAACCCAACATCACAACTACAAATGCGGTCTTCGTGGCCTCAGTATTTCTAAACAAAAGCCTATTGGACTCAAAGTAGGACAGAAGCTTGGTAATTTGTCATCCTGACAGGTTAGCTACGAAATAGTCTGTGCTCTATTTATGTGACATTTTCTCAGTAAAGGAACTCTTAATGCTGGATATTGTAATGTTAATATGAACACACATTTTAGAGTTGGACCTGATTATCTTTCCACTCTTTACAAACCTCACTCATTCTCTCTCTTGTCTACAGTTGACTTTTGGTCCCCTCTGAAACGGACCTGATATTCTCCTCTTGGGGTTTAAAAACCGTATTTCTTTGTTTGTCTTCATAGCAGGTTCCAGTTCTTTTGAATCACAGAAGATGGAGAGACCGTCCTTAAATGTCCTATCTCCCTCCAGTCCCGGGATGCTCCAAGACGCTCCACAGTTAATGCCAGGGCAGCTCTCGGTGAGTGTGTGCACTCTTGAGTGTGTTATTGTGTTGATGTGTTAAACAAAAACAAAAACATGCAGCATCAGATTTGTGCGTGTGTTTCCTGTTCAGGTGAAGCTATGGTACGACAAAGTGGGTCATCAGCTGATAGTCAACGTGCTGCAGGCTGTAGGGCTTCCACTCCGGCCTGACGGGCGGCCCAGGAGCCCTTACGTCAAAATGTACTTCCTCCCTGACCGCAGGTACTCCAACCACCGCTACACAGGGAGTCCTATAGATGAAAATTAGATTAAGATTAATAACAATAGACTGCTTTTGCACATTGCAATAAAATGGAATCAGATGAATGAACCACAGAATAATCAGGGAAAAGAAAGAGTAACTTCATCACATCTCCAGTCTACAAAGCATAAAACCACTCAAACTCCAGCAACAGATTTCTGAAGCCGGGATTTAATGCTACATTTTTCAATCGATCGGAGCCATTCAATTTGGGCAAAGGGGAGGAAGCCAGGTTAGGACAATCAAACAGCTATCACAACTGGCTTTGGTATGAGAGTCCTCCTTAAACAATATTTCTACGGAATAACATAATGCTTCTAAAAACATGAAAATAAACAAAAAAGTTTCAAACAATAAAATATGCATTCAGTTAACTCAACAATGGAGTCCCCAACATGTTGTGTCAAACACTGATTGATAGTTTAGAGTCCGCCCCCATTAAAACGATACAGTACCTTCAGAGTTTAGTCAGAAGCAGGGGTGGACAGTAACGAAGTACTTGAGTACTGTACTTAAATATATTTTTCGAGTATCTGCACTTCACTTGAGTACTGTACAATTGATTGTACTTTTGACTACATTTCTATGAAGTACTCTTACTTTTAAGCAGCTTGTAGTCTGTGGAATTTATTTTATTTTATTTTGAAAATATGATAAGATAGAGGACAGAGATGTGGAACTAGGTTAGGTTGTTTTTTTTCTCCTGTGGAAGCTGCATACAGCAACTCCACTGTCTGTTTGGTGGACACATGTTCACGAACACACTCACGCACAGACACACACTGCAGGAGCTGTGTCAGAACACTGTCATGCTGCTTTGTGGGGGGTGGGGCGTGTTAAATAAAAAAAGGGAAAAAAAAAGAAATACAAGAAGGGCAATGGCTGTCCTTTTTCCCTCTGTTGATTCAGCTGTTTTTATGTCCATCTACAGTCTTTGTATCATATTTTACAAGTTTATTGTACAGGTTCTACAGTCAGTCAGTCACTCAGTCAGTCAGTCAGTTCGTAGGTTGTTTCAGAGTCATTAGATTCTGTTAATGTGGAACAATACAACAATGAATTGACATTAAAAAATGTACTTTCAAATACTTCAGTGTTTTTAAAATCAAGTACTCCAGTACTTAAACCAAGTAAAAATCTGACTGAACACTTTTCACTTGTATTGGAGTCATATTTGACCAGGAGGATCTATACTTTGACTCAAGTAATGAAGCTGTGGACTTCCTCAACCTCTGGTTAGAAGCAGCATCTCGTGGCCGTTACAGCACCTCTATTGGTCCAGATATGTAAACTGTAACCTCAGCTAAATGTCACTTGTAAATTCATTCCAGCTTACATAAGTCACATACAGTAAGTGTAGAGTAAAGAGTAAATTTAGATAAATGAGGCTCGTGATTCAGCTTCTTGAAAGTTTTAGTTGTGTCTTTTAAACAGGGACAAACAATAAAAGTGGGTCCACTAAAAAGGGGAAACTTGGCTCGGCTGAGTGTCTTGTGTTGTTTTACGCAGCGACAAGAGCAAACGAAGGACAAAAGCAGTGAAGAAGACGTGTGAGCCCAAGTGGAACCAGACGTTTGTCTACACTCATGTCCATCGCAGGGATTTCCGCAACCACATGCTGGAGCTGACTGTGTGGGACCAACCCAGGTCACCAGAGGAGGACAGCACCTTTATGGGAGAGGTAACGCACACACACACACGCACACACACACACACACGCACACACACAATGAAGGTTGCTCTCCTTTCTTGATTATAGCACAAAATTATTGTCCTTTCCATTTGTTCCATTTGAATTGCCATCTCCTGGTGATTCTGTGGATTCTGGATCATAGAGGTTACCTTAGCGACAAATTAGGAACACCATTCTAATACTGGGTAGGGCACAACATTTATTTACTATGTGGATTATGACTTGAACAGATCCTGATAGAGCTGGAAACGGCCTTACTGGACGACAAGCCTCACTGGTATCCACTCCAAACCCATGATGTCTCATCCATACCGCTGCCCCGGCCCTCCCCGTACCTGCCCCGACGACACACAGATACCCCTGGCAAGAAGCTGCAGCGTAAGTCTGACAGTGTGTGTGTCTGTGAAGGCACTTCATTTTGTACATTTATGTATAAGCTCTTTCTTATCCTCTGTGTGTGAGTGTGTATGCATGCATCACTGTGTAAGAGAGGAAAGGTTGTGTGTGGTTTACTATCAATGAACAAAGTGTAACATGTATGTCGATGTAAATGTCTGTTTTCATCACCCTTCCCTAACACTGCCTTTGTGCCTGGATGCGTGCATGCGTATATGTGTGTATGGTGTGTATACACATCTATGTCTGTGTGTGTGTGTCTATGACTGTGTAGGTTCTCAGCGTGTAACAGAGCCTGAATTTGAGGCTACAGCAGTAGTGTCTAAAGGTGGGTTGGGACTGTTTTCAAGTGTTACATGCAGTGTATCCCGAAGCTTGTGTTTTTATTTGTGGTGCAGTTCTGGTGGTTGCTTTGCAGGATCTAGTTTCTGTATACACTTTTGTTATAGTTAAAGTGTTTCTCCACCTTCCTACACTTGTATTTGAGTCTAATTCATTTGCCAAAAAACAGACGACAAAACACACAATAAATAAAATTAAACATCAGCTTGACTGACAGTATTGTTGTTGTTTTGTTTTTTTTATCACATTTTCTATAGATGTTGCGATATTATTGTGAATTCTTTTGGCCTGGAGTTGTAAGCAAAGACTATACCAACTGACAACATTTATATGCGGAATATATTTTATTTAACTGGAATTACTCTGACTACTAGCACTATTATTTTGATGAATTACTAACATTCCATGCATATTCTTGAATCTGAACTGAAATGGAAATCAATGCTGACAGGTCACCACAAATAAATCAATGTATGGGAAACACTGTCATGTTTGTAGACAATAAGTTAGCATGGGGTGGAAACTATCCAGGCTCCATGTTTCAGTCAGGTGTTGTTCTGTCTCAGATGAGCCTCATCTAAAATATAGTTTGAAGATGTTAATTTCCGAACCACTAACCAAACATAGATAAAAAACGAACACATATGCCGAAACACTTAGCTTTTTGTTGTATGTTTATAAGTGTACATTTGAATACTGTAAAAGTCTGTGTGAGTCTTTGTCTGTGTATGTCAGGGTCGGACTGGTCTAGGTAGATTTGTTGACAAATCTGGGCTATTTTAAAAATCAGATTACCTATTTCTCTGATGATAAATTCTTTGGATAATCTAAATCAATCTGATTTAATTATCTAATACTGTGATTATGAAAGTATGGGAGAAATTTTTTTTTTAAATGATAATTATTCATTTCCATGGTTTCGCATCAGCATTTCCTGGTTTAAGTAAAATGTGGCATGAATACTGTATTCCATATCAAAGTGAAAAATATGAAATATAAATACAAAATATATTAAAAAATAGAATGTAAAATAAAAAAAATCCAATATGTCTTATAGTGGATATTTGGGCCACTTGAAGTGGAAACGCTGACTATTTCAACCTTTCTTTTATGACATTCAATTAGTCAAACTCAGCTGTATCAGTCGAACCCTAATGCTCAAGTTAAAAAGAGAGACAGGAGGGATTGAAATATATACCACATCACTCTCAACTTTTTGTTTTAATTTTACATGCATGGCCGGTAAATGAAAATCCGCGCTAGCACTTTCTAAAGTAAAGCTAATGGCCCACATTGAGCTTGGGAAATGAAGCCAGTGACCTTGGAGTCACAACAAAGCCCGACACAGTCGCACAGATCCCTTCAAGGCTGATCAGTCTCTCTATTTATATTTTTATCTCCAGAGAGAGTTTTGCAACAAAACCAAAGAAAGAAAAAAAGGTGTTACAGTACATTATTAAAATACAGCACCCAGTCATGACAAATATCTGGCTACACTACTATTTTTAGGATAGTCTTTTAATGGTCTGTATCCTCATGACAGATTGTTCTGTTGTTGTTGCCATAGGTACGATATGTTAAGTGTTATCAGGCTCCTAGCTAAGATGTTAGCATATACATTCATTTCAGAGTAGTAAACTCTGAGCTAACACTTGCTAACTTGCATAATAGGCTTACATTTTGTGAGGTGGGTGGGTACTAGTGTGATTTTAAATGTATATACATTATCTGTTGAGGTAACGTTAGCAGGCTACTAGCATGATTTTATACTTAGATATGTGGAAGCAGGCTAATAGCATGATTTTAAGCTTGGATATAAGCTAGCAGGCTACTAGCATAATTTTAAAACTTGAGATTGTGAATATGGATAACATTTAGCTAGATTGTAGATAACCTATACTTTAGCAGTGAATGTGGTGGGCGATAAGAGACTGTACAAAATGTTTTATTACTGCAAATATACATTTTTTCTTTGCAGGGAGAAGCTCTTCCTGGCTATATTAGCCATGTTCAGTTGTACCGGGACTCTTCAGTCCATATTATTGAAGCCATTAGCAAGGTTTTATTGCTTTTACCGGCCAACATACAGTATCTTCTCAGTTTAGATAATAGTAGCTGTCCAACACAGTCTGGAAATTTCAATAATCTACAGGGGACATTTGGATTATTTTGATGCCTCTTAACAAAATAACTGAACTAAAATGTGGGAATTGACAAAGAAATGGTTTGAGCTATGTTATTCAGACACAAGGATATATTACATACTGTATATACTTTACACTACCATCTTAACTACTGTACTTTTTTTGTACTGTCTGATGAATCTAATCGTCTGGCTGAAGATAATCCATACTCTTGTATGAAAGTTTCCATAATTTTTCTTTAATTTGCCATAATTAAACAGATGGATTATGTTTTTTCCATGTTTGACATGTTTGATGTTAAAATTTCTGTGCACTCATTCACATTTACTTATGACTGTGTGTGTATATATGTGTGTGTCTATATGCATGGCCACTCCCACCAAGCAGCAGATGGGCGTGGCAGGGAGAGGCAAAGGGAGCCCACGTCTACTCTGGAGGTGCCAGACCAGCAGAGGACGCCTGCCCATCACATACGATCACGCTCAGTTTCCCCACACCGGGAAGAGCAGGGGCGCATCCGGTCGCGGCCACCCAATGTTCCCGCCCAGAGGTGAGGGTTGGTTGGAGGTCGGAGACAAGATTTTATTACAAGGGGCAACATGAGACATAGAATGATACTCCTGATGTTTTAAGTGTGACCCACTCACTCCATATGAGCCTAAAAATTGCCGTCAAAACATTTATAATCATAGTTTTGGGGTTAACACACTGCTTCAGACTTTTTGCTCACTTCTGTGACAGTTATGTGTAAGGACTGAGATGGAAGACCATACACAATTTAAGATCATTTACTGTGGTGGGTGGCATCGCCTGATCTCTGATGATGATTTCTAATATCAGCCTGAGGAGAAAACACTGGTCACTTGGAATAGGTAAAAGCAACATGGTAGCTAGTGAGAGGAGGAATGAGAGAGTTTGTTGGAAGGCAGCAAATGGTCCATCTACTAATGAAATGTCTGTCTGATGCAGAACACACAGTCCTGCCAGCTCTGCTTTTACTGGCTCCACTTTTACTGGCTGAGCCAAATGAGCCCCGCCAAGAGTCTGCTAAAACACCGCCTGACCACTAACCTGACATAAGTCTTTCTTTCTTTCTTTCTTTATTTCTTTCTTTCTTTCTCTCTTTCTCTCTTTCTCTCTTTCTCTCTTTCTTTCTTTCAGGAGTTTGGATGATGAGCTTCCTCACACTCGTCGTTCTCGCTCTCCGACCCGCTACTACGACCCTGCCAGAGGTCGCCACCAGGAGGAGGAGTACCTGGACGACAGGTGTGTGGCTCTGTTTGAGCACAGAGTTGTTTCCACTGTTTGTCAGAAAACTTTGTCTCTCACTGTATTTTTTCATGTGTTACAACGACCACTTATCTGTGTGCGCATGAGACAGTAGATCTTTGTGCATAGCTGTGTTTCTGCTGCAAAGAGATTTTGGTTTTACCTTAAAGTGGGAATGGTTGTCGTGAGCATAACTGAACTTTATTTTATCGGACACGTTCAGTTTCTTTTGTTTACCATTACTTTTTTTATTTTCTTTCACCAAATTTCTGTTTTCTTTGGGCTTCATACCAAGTTTGGTGCAGTAGCTATTATCGTGAAAGTGACGGTAGAGCAGTGTTTAGACAAAAAGGCTTTGGTTGCAAAAATCTTTGGCATTTAATGTGCGTGCGTGTGCGTGCATGTGCGTGCATGTGTTTGTGTGTGTGCGTGTGCGTGTGCGTGCGGGTGTCTTGTGTGTATAGCAATCAGCGACAGCCTCTCTTTCCTATTCACCCTCTTCTCTTCCTCTGCTCTTCTGGTTTTTTGACTGTTGTTAATTTCCTCATGTGTCATCCATCCCCATGGTAACGACAGTGAGATCATCATGATCCACCAGTCAATGCGAGGCAAAAGCGCTGAGTGCCTCCACACCAGGTAAACTAGCCAATCACGATGTGTTGTTTACATTTTGGTTCTGGATTTGGACTCTGGATCAGTTGTAGTTTTGTGTGTGTAGTGTTTTTAACATTGACATGATTGTCTCTCTATGAAAGTTAGTTTAGAAAAGTTCCATCACTGATAATAGAGTTTAGAAAGGGATGTACTTTATATGTAAAAATAATATATATAAAACACACTTAAGTAGAGTTGCCCGTCTTGCAATGCTGTTTGACTTGCCTACCCTGTCTGTGGCTCTCAGCCCCAAGCCCGTTTTCTTTGACTAAAAACAAACAACAATCTTTAAAAGCTGGTTCCATTTTTTAAAAAGCTGGAAATAATTCTTCAAATAGCTGGAAGCGAAAATGTGCATTTGTTGGGGACTATTTTGAGCCATGGATGATCACACATTTAGTCCTCCTCTGAGGAATAAGACATATCAGGCTATGAACACACACACAAAATTTGTTAGTAGGATACATGTTATTGTTGGTTTTGGCTAAGGTCAGAAAAAATCATTTAGCTCCTGCAATAATTTCAGGTAAAATGGGATGGACTTTCTACTTTCTTAATAATGTAACCGTCAAGTGTAAATGTCAGTTGTACTACTGCCTCAGATCCACAAGAGGACAGTACAGGACCATGCTTGCATTCAAGCTGTGATTCTCAGCAGGCTGCTGTTCTACAACCACACCGACAGCAGCTTGTTATTGTAGGGCTGGAAGCAGGACCAACTACTTGTCCAGCGCTTGTGTCAAAGACAGATCTATAAACATTCACTCTGGCCCTCCAGTAGAAATCAGACTAATCATTATCTGCCAGATGTATCTTTACAACTTAAAATGATTGAGAGGTCTTGTCTCTGCACTCTGTTCCCATATCCTGATACAGTTCAAGATATCAACACATTCACTGTTTATCACATGTACTGTAGTCACCTCCACTTGGGTCTTAGGTTGCTGTTGAAGCACACAGCCAGAGAGGTAAATGACCCTCTTGAGAGCACATCTGTATGTTCCATTAAAGCCAGATAAATATACTCTCCTTATACAACCACACCTCTCCGATAGAAACATAATAAGCTGGACACACTTTCTATTTGTACTGTCTATACACACGGATGTGTTTGAAGGAGGACAGTGTTTTTAAGTGTCGGCTGAGATGAGAGGCGGCTTTTGATGCTTGTGTGCCTGTCATGCAGCTCTGTAGTTCTACTCAATTACACAAGCTTAGCCAGTGATTTTAAATAATCTATAACATGAAACCTGCCGTACTTTGATAGTACAATAAAAGTCTTACAGTAATTAAATCACCTGATGGGCCAAACAAATTTGATCGTAACCTACAGTATCCTCAAATTAGCTAAATAATATACTATATAGTATAAAATCACTGGTTAAGTGGGATTTGTTTTCTTCTTTTTCCTTGTAGAATTTTTTCTGTCCAAACTCTTCCACATGCCTGCTTTTTTCTCCTCTTCCATCTATTCCTCTCATTTTCCTACTTCTGTTTGCTGCATGCATTCTAACACCAGGAGATCTACTAGGCACAATAACACACTGCCACCTAAGATGCCACTTTTGTTCAACGGTATCCACAAACACACAAACAGGTAAGTCTACAGATAAGGGTTCAGTATGCTTCCAGAAGTCAAGATCCCACTGAAATCTCTAATTGTGCTAATATTGAAATATACGGCCCTGAACGGAGCCTTTTCACCATTATGTTGTTGTGCGGCTAACTTTATGTGTTTAAATAACTACGGCAGTAGATAATATTATATTATTTACTAAATATTTTTATTTTTAGCGGCCTTTAAAGTGATAGTTGGGTTTATTTGACGGGGGTTGTGTGAGGTAGTCATGCATAGTCGGTGTGTTACCTGCAGTAGATCCAGATCAGTGCGCTGCCAGTTAGGAGAGGCAGCAGGGAATACAGTACACAAGTAGAGGGATGTGTTACTGTGCACGGGGCCAGCAGAGAAAAGTGTTTTAGACACTTTTAAAAGACGCCCACTGAAACAATCCAATATCCGTTGAAATTAATGCTTCATGTAGAATATCTTCTCATCAAAACAGCACTTTGCTTTGGTACTACATTTTTCTCAACCGCTGCACTACCGTATTCCTACGCACAAGCTCACATACAGCACGCACTGTATGACGCCGCAGCCGCAGGTCACCTTAGTGAATCAGAAACAGCTAAACTTCCCTTCGTTTTGATGGGAAGATAAACAGCTGAAAATATTCAACATGAAGCATAAATTTAAATGGATATTGGATTGTTTTGGTGGGCGTCTTAAACGTGTCTAAAACTGTTTTTTTCTGCTGGCCCCGTGCACAGCAGCACATCGCTCTGCCTCTGTGCCGGTGCTCCTGGCTGCCTCTCCTAACTGGCAGCGTGCTGAACTGAATATGGTGAAGCTAACACACTGGCTATTCATGACTACCTCACACACCCCTACGTCAAATAACCCAAACTATCCATTTAAGGAACTCCCTTTCCCATCAGCCCTAGATGGGCTTCACGGGCTAAATGTCAAGGCTCAGCAGAAGGGGTGAGTCCATGAGTCAAGAGGCAGTGAGCTCAGACATCTATAATAACAACAGGACGGAGAGGACAGCATGTGTAGAGGTAGACTACAACTAGAAAGTTGAAAAGACTAGAAGACTAAAGACTAAGAAGAGAGTGAGTTTTATGGATACGTTTCTGACACACTTCATGGGAGCTGTAGTTCTCCGAATGCTAAAAATAAATAGTTCACTAACTTAATCAAAACCACAAAGGTTTTAACATCAGCCAGTGCTGTAGTGCTGTAGTGTAGCTGCATTGAGTTACAGAAGCTAATGGAACCGAGGCTAGCTGGGATGTGACGTCATGACTTCAGCTCTTTATTTCTGCTGTTGCAGTTGTAAACAGAACACAGTGCTGTGGTTGATGAAGTCATCCAAAACTGACCCAGAGTGGTTTAATTAGTTTTTTTTCAGCAGTGTAACATTTAGCTTCAGCCCACTGTTGGTGCACCCTGGTAGTCGTAGTTAACTTCTACCCTGAAGTTTTTATGTACCTTTGAATTTTCATCAAAGAAAGACATTTTCTGACACAGGCCGTTCATCTTTTGTACTAATGGTGTTAATGCGCTTCATGCTGATCTACTCTATGTCACTAATCCAACTATGATTCCTTTAGATAGTTTTACAAATTAAAAGGATAGGGACTTTCACTTCTGGAACCAGGGGTGCCCAACATACTGTAGCTCCTCCCACTTTGAAATTCTGCTTGATATTTAAGTTCAAACCCTGACCACTTTCACACCTCTGTAAGGTGGGCGTGGCTATCGGACTGTCTGGTACTGTCTGGCCTTTCACATGCTGTTGGACAATCTGACAAGCACTTTGTTTAAAGCATACTGAGGCCTTTAGACATTTTGTGCTGTCATTATGATTTTTCTCAACAAATGGAGAAGCAAATAATCATTTTGTTGTAGTTAAATTTTATTGATATTACATTTAGGATATCTGCAAAGCTGTACATATTTATAGTATAGACTGAGTCACACAACCTTTGAGTCTTCAGAGGACATCTCTTAATGTGAGTATTTTCCACAGCAGCAGAGGCTTCACAGATTAGTTTTGATCTCAGCTTTCTTTCTTTTATTTTGTTTCATTTGCAAATGCATGCTGATTTTTTGAAATCTTCGTCTTGTGACTAGCTCCACGCTGCCTGCATGTCGAAAGATGAGCTCTGTCACGGGATCGCAAGTAGTCATGGCAACACGCCATTCCATCACACACCGTGTTGTGATGTTCACAGATGAGGTGACAGTTAGGTAAGACACGCACACACATGCATACGGATTATTATTATGATTAACGAGTAAACATGTGAGTGTAAGCTTCCCAGGCTGGGAGAAAAGTGCAGAGAGCACTCCATCCTTTGCCATGAGTCTATAATACTCCATCTCCATGACAACCATAACAATTTATACACTCCCATTCTTACACCAGCCAGTCAGTCATAATTCAGTTCAGCAGTTCAGACTAGCATCATGATTTTGGGAATCTAACCAGACTTTCTTTTATAATGTTTTTTTCTGTTTGTCCATTGTTTTTTCTCTTTGTGTTTGTTTCTGTCCTCTCCTCCTGTCTCTTCTTCCTCTCCTCCTCCTCTTCCTCCATTGGATGGCATGTTGTGCTGTGGTGCCTCTAGTGATCTCCAGCCTTCTCTGGACAGGGTTAGGAGTGCTAGCGCCAACTGTCTGACTCCAGACAATCATGCCCCCTCACCAGAGACTGAAAGGTACCAGCCTCTGTACCCACCTGTACCTCCCCCTGCAGTCCTCCTGCAGTTTCTTGCTC